GGCTTTTGAAGGCGGCAGCACCAGCAGCAGCAGCTTTTTATCCAGTGTTAACTATTACATCCAGAGGTAACTAGTGAGCGGGGCAGCCTCCGAGCCACCGCTGGTGTCCAGCTCCCTGTCTTGGAGCCGGGCAACAAGGGTGTTCCCAGTGCTTGTGGCAGTGCCAAAAACACGTGCTGCTGGCTCCGGGATGGTTAGCGGAGGGGTTTTAATTAGGTTCTTGCCAAGAAACTAAAAGGCGAGGGGTGGAGAGGAAGGCAAGTGCCGCTGATCCCTGCAGGGTGTGCTGAGCACTGTGCACTTTGTACAGCATCTGGGGAACGTGACTCATTCCAACCTTTTGACTCTTCCCGGGCTGTTCCACACTGCCTGCCTGCACGCCAGCCTCTTCTGTCGTGAGTCATCAGATTTGTGACAGGACTCCACCTGTGCGTCAGGTGAGAAAAGGTCTTAACTTCCATATTCAGTCTTGAACCAAAACTACTCCAAAAGAGAGTGGGTATGAGCGAGGGAGGAGCCTCAGCCACCAATCCCACACTGTCCCCTAAGAACTGCTGCGAGTTGAGGCATGTGGGGTGCGCCGAGACAAATTCTTACTGAAAATGCCTCAGCTCGAGTGTCCCTGAGCTGAATCTCTGGTATGTCGCAGGTCTGGCCGTCTGCAGCGGCAGGTGAGCAGCTGCGTGTGGCCGTCGGGGCTGCGAGCTTTGGGGAGAGCATCCTTCCCACACGCCAACCCTGCAGCTCTGCCAGCGGGGTGAGACTGCTGCAGCCGCAGCGTTGTCCCCACCGCTTGTTACACCCAGAAAGATGGGCAGGCACCCCTGGTTCTGCGAGAGCTGGGGCCTGTCTGCGTGCAGGGCGTGCTGCTCCCCTTGACAGCACCCATTTCCCCCCCAGCTTTTCAGATATGCCCAGAAACCAGAAATGGTCTGGGTTTGGGCAAGCTCCCAGCACAAATCGCAGCCCACGACACCACTGGAGCACTCATGTGTTTATTTGCTGCTGGGTAAAGGGGCGGGAGGTGATGGGTTATGTGGGCAGGGATTTTGGACGCGAGGCACGCTGCTGTTTTCCTCCCCAGAGCCCATGTACTACGCAGTGGTGGAGGCACGCCGGCGTGCCATGAGGTTCAACACGGCTCTGCAGTCCGTGCGGGCATCACCGGGCAGGTACGGCTGCACCTCGCTGAGCTTCACATCAAAGCCAGCGCCCTCCACAGCCTCCTCCACCATGCTCCTCTCCAGGTAGAGGCACGAGAAAACCTGCTTGTTGAAGGCGTAGAAGGTTTCCTGGAGGACCGTCACCATCACCAGGTGCCCCCCCGGCTTCACCAGGGTGCTGATGTTCCTCAGGGCGCTGCGGAAGGTGGCCAAGGCAGCCTCCAGGCAGAGGGTGGACACGATGCAGTCGGCGGGAGGCAGGGACACAGGGGCCGTGGGGTTGGCTTTGGTCACGTCGCACTTCAGAACCTGCTTCACCTTCTTCCTCAGTTTCTCTTCTTTCTCAGCCCACTTCTCCCTGGCAAGTCAATAAATAGACAGAGAGACAGAGGCTCGTGATGTGGTTA